GCTATCATACTTTATACTGGCTTTTCATTCCTGGGATGAATCATACTTTTTATATAACATACTCAGTTTATTTATAGGTTCAATTTGCCAATCATTTGTTAGGATTCTTAAGTCTTTTTTTCATGGATTCTTGATCTGTAGTTTTCTTGCAGTAAATCACTTTCAGTTGTTGTTATCAAGGTTACAGGAAGTGCTTTTTCAGTCTGTAGTCTTGGAAAAATTTGAGTGTGATAAAAATTTTTCCCTTCAATTCTTTATTTTCTAAAACTCAATGGTGAAATCACATGGCCTGAAATTTTTACTGTGTGAAAACCTTTTTTCACAATACACCTAGTTTATTTAGTAAATCCAGAACGATTTCTGGCATTTTCAGAAAGTTGTATTTCTGAGGAATTTATCAATTCTCTCTACATTGTTAGACCATCCTTCTCTCTCTTTAATTGTATTGTGCTAAAAAAAAAATATGTAAGATGATAACCAAAGTTACTACCATTGAGTCAGTGCTGACTCATAGCAGCACCTGTGGGTTTCTGTGCCTGTAATTGTTCACGGGAGTAGAAAGCCCAGTCTTTCTCCTGAGGAGCTGCTGTGGTTTCAAACTGCCAACCATGCAGATCGCAGCCCAACGTGGATAGTCTGCTCCATTTCCTCCCACTCCTCCCTTGAGTATATTCCTTCACATGTCTGGGTTCTGCGAATCACTGAAGTGCCTCACACAGAACTCACAACAATTCAAGGAGATGTCTCAAACAGTGCTGGTTGCCGATCAGTCCAAAGTCAACTGTAAGCCAGGGGTAAGGCAGATGCTGGGGCCAGAGAACCGGCTGGCTCTTGCCTGTGATTAAATCACACCTCCTACTTGTCACGGTGCTCATTTTATACACAGCAGGCTGACATTGCAAGGAATCCTGTTCACAATGACTCACAGGGGATCCCATCAGTATCTTCCCCACCTTCTTACCAAACCATGCAGGGAAAGGTCATTTGGTAGGAGTTCTATGATGCACTCAAATTTCACCCAAACATAATAATCTGTTCTCCATTCCTGGACTGTTACTTATTTATGTATCGTATATACTTGTGTATAAGCTGAGTCATTCAGCACATTGTTAATACAGTTTTTGTGGTAAAATTGGGTGTCTTGGCTGATATTCGGGTCGGCTTATACTCGAGTATATACGGTAAATATAAACTGGGCCTTCTGGCAAGACGTTTCCAGCGGGCATTGGCCTCCTACTCATCTTCTCAACCAGGCTTCTTCCCAGGCTAAAGAAAGAGAAGGCTTTCTTTCTCCTCTCAGCTGTAACATTTAATTGCTTACATCCTCTGTAAGTATCAGTAACCAGCAAAGAGTGTGGTCTCATTCACACCTTCTGTAAGGTCAGACCTTAACCTAAAACTGTTTCTGTTTGTTAGCTATTAATGCCCTCCAAAATGAACTTTAGCCACAGGTGAATGAAATCTAGAATTGTAATATATCATATAAGGGAGTAGAGCTGGAAGGGCCATATTAATTGAGTGTAGCTCAGTATTCCATTAATTACATTCATTTTGTTGCACGTTGTGTGATTAATGGAATTAATGGAATGCTGTAATGAATCTCGCCGAGGAGCTTGTAGGGATGAAGTTATTGGCTGCGAACTAAAAGGTCAGCAGTTCAGATTGAGTATGTGGCAGTCTGTTACCATAACGATTATAGAATGTGGGGCAGTTCTACTTTGCCCATATAGCGTTGCTTTCAGTTGTCAACCTGACTGCTATTGGTTTGAAATTTATTGTTGTTTAATATTTCCATTATATATATGTACCACGTTTTAGTTTTGTATTCATCTATGATGGACCCTTGAGCTGTTTACACCTGTTGCTTTTTCTGAATAATGATATAAAGAAAGAAACTGGTGTGCAAGGAACTGTACACGTTATTGCATTTCAAGCCTTTTCACTTGAAAATACAGGTGGAATTGTTAGGTCCTATGATAATTCTCCGTGCATCCTTTTGATAACTGCTGAACTGTTCCTCACATGGGTTGTAACAAACATTTTACTTTCTCCCACAACAATGAATGGGTGTTCCAGTTTCTCCCATCCAGCCAATAGTTATTTTCCAGTGTTTTGATAATAGCCATGCTAGGAGGGGTGAAATGGTATCTTATTGTGGTTTTTGTTTTAAATGTCTCTGTTTTTAATTACTTTGAGCATCTTTTCATGTGCTTATTGGTCATTTGTATACAGTATCTTCTTTAGAGAAATGTCTTTTAAAGTCTTGCTCATTTTTAAATTAGATTGTTTTGTGTTGTAGGAGATTTAATATATTCAGAATATTAAATCATTATTAGATGGATAGTTCCCAAATATGTTCTCCCATTCTGTTTCTACAGAAGAATCTACTCTTCAACTTTCCTGAATTCATTTATTACCTCTGCACCTTTCTTGTAGAATCATTGGGATTTTCTGTGTATGTAATAATGTCATCTATGAGAAGGGATTGTTTTAGTTCTTTCCTCACAAATTTTGAACCATTTATTTCTTTTTCCTGCCTAATTGCTCTAGCAAGAACTTCTAGTATAATGCAGAATAGTACTGGTAACTCTCCTCCATTTTTCTTCTTGAAATGTGGTATGTGCTTATAATTTTTCATAGATAGCTCATGTCATATTTCAAAATTTCTCTTCTCTTTCTAGTTTGTTGGAGTTTTTTATACCATGAAGGGTGTTACATGCCATCAAATTAGTTCTGGCTAATTTGGTATCCAATGCCATCAAATTAGTTCTGTGTCAAAGCAACCCTGCAAACAACAGAATGAAGTACTGCCTGGTCCTGTACCATTCTTATGGTTGCTATTTTGGGGGCCCATTTTTCCTGTATTGGAGCATCCCATCTTGTTGAAGACCATTTTTTTCCTGCTAACCTTTTTGACTTTGTTTTTTCCGCATAGCTATCTGAAATTAAAATATTTGTTTCAAACCTCTTTAAGTATGTTTCTTTTTTAAGTGGTGCATCTGTAACTATAATGTTCATCGTGTAAATTTTTATATGTTTAATTTTCATTGTCATTCTAGAATCTTGTTCAGATTTCTCTTTTGGAATACCCCCCTTTTCAATAACTCTTCTTTAAGAGAAGGAATGCAGAGAGAGAACTCAGAGTTTGTTTCCGGCCACTGCTTTCTTCAATTCTTCATGTTCATCTATCCCATTTATTTTTTCCAAGTCAGAGCACTTTCCAATTTATATGGGAGATAAATTTGAGATTTTGCATATAATAGTGTTTTTTTAATGCTCTTAAGTGAACAACATATTGGCTAAATATAGACTTCTTGGGTCATATTTCCTTCATTGTAGTAACCTATAGTAGCCTTTAGTAATTCAGTGATCTTAGGGTCCAGTGTTGCAGCTAAGAATTGTGTTGTCAAGTGATTCCTTCTTATAGGAAAAATAGTTTGTTGACATGGAGCTGGAAAGATATTTTTCTGTTATTATTATTCATTTATAAATTATAAACTAACTGTGTTCATCTGGATGTGTCTCATCAGTATAGCCAGGAATTTAGTGTGCCCATTCAACGTATAGTCTCCAATTTTTAAAAATACAGTTACATTTTCTTGTATTACTTGTTTAATTATTACTTGTTCTCTAACTGCTGTTGAGCTACTTTTTGTATATTGGAGCTTGTGGATCTATCTTCTAAGTCTCTGCTTTCATATTTTCATCACTCTTTGCCTTTTAAATGCATTTTCATGTTAATCTCTGTAGTAACCAGCAGTTCCCCTAGTTAATCTACTCAACTGTAAACCTTGGAAATTATATGTTATATATGCATAAAGTTTTATCTTGTGTTGCACTGTAATTTCCTTTCATAGTTTTCCTTTTTTTTTTTTGCTAAAATAGTTGTCTGTCTCTTTCATAGCTGAATTTCGATGGTCAATTGATATCCCTATAGCAACTGTACTCCCTTAGATGTGTACTTATTTTTTATTGTCAGTCAGTTGAAACTCAGGTCTGAAGTGGAGAGCAGGGGTGTCCTGTGTGCAGTATCAACAGTGGGGCCCATGGACCCCCCACTCTCCACCCTCCTTCTTCTCTCCAAGCTCATTACTCAGCCTACTCATGCTGCAACTTCTCGGCCTCTTGAGTGCCAGCAAAATAAGGGCCAACTTGTATGAGGCTGATGCTCACCACCCCAATTCTTTTCTGCTCCAACTACCACGAGGAGTTCACAGATCATGTTGGGTGAGCACCTTCAACGATCTGCCACTCTGTGTTCTAATGCAGTATGCCAGCCTCTCATTTTACCTGTGGAAGGCAGAACCCTGTGTCTCTTCTGTGTGCTGGAGGTACCATGGAACCCTGAGCCTCGCCACACGTGGCCATACCCAGGCAACAGTAGTCCTTTCACTTAGTGCAGGCAGCATTATAACTGAAGGAAGAAGGAAAGAGAGATGCATTTGGGTGTTCATCCTCCTAGAATAAGTCTTTTTTCTTTCTCCATGAATAATAATTTAATTAATAAAAATACATTCATTTATATGAGTAAACACAGTTGCATTATTTTAAATACCTTGTTTAATTGTAGTTCACTGGCTACTACCATGTAGTATTTACAATTCTTTCTACTGTATAGAAATAAAAGTTTATTGAAAGTATTCTTAATATGTATGCTATTGTTGCTGCTGCTGTTTTTTTTTAATCCTATAAAATAGCTGCGATTAGAGGGTCTTTTTTGCTTATAAATAAATAAAGATATTTTTATAGAAAGGTTGATAAGTATATTTAAATACACTTAAGAGCATTGGGCTTAGTTATGATGAAATAATTCAGAGTATGTTTACACCAAAGGATGCTCAAAATTATTGTTACTGAATTATACATGTAGAAACTGTAGAGTTGATTATTTTGTTGTATGTATTTTTACAATAATTATAAATGCATGGAAGCATTTGCTATTGATAGTATTTTACACAAATATAAAATACTTAAAATTCTTCATTACTGTGTCTTCTTAGGTTAGCATGGCTTCGCTGAAAGAATTAGACCAAAGGCTCTTTGAAAATTATATTGAGCTGAAAGCAGATCCCATTGTTGGCTCCCTAGAGCCTGGAATTTATGCAGGCTGTTTTGACTGGAAAGATTGCCCGCCTCCAGCAGGTAAGTAGTTTCAAGAAGTCCTCTCAGATTAGGCTACTGCTTCTGGAGGAAAGGGGGTGGGGGGAGGTGCTATTTCCATTCCTATATCTTTAAGATACATTTCTTTTTATTCAGATTTTTCTTATATTTGTACAAGGGTGGGGGATTGTTTGCTTTTAACTTTTTATGAGCTTAGACTCTTTGATAACTTAGAATTTAGTACATTTGTTATTATTAATACTTAATGGTTTGAAAGATACTCTTAAAAAACAGAAAAATTAATTACATACCGTATAATAAGTGATCATGTTAGTAATAAATACTTGCTTCACATGATATGCCTGTATTGTATGCATATAATAGAATGTCTCTGAATGACAGGTTTATGCAATGACCTGTGACTGTCATCAAAAAATATATTTAAGAAATGTGGTCACTTCTATGGAAGACCCAATTATGGATTCTCTAAAGGTGAAAGATATAAGGAAAGTGTGTAGGAGTACAGTTATTATAGTAATTTAGCAAAGAACACTAAACTACAGAAGGATGACTGACAGGCGTTCCAGCATTCTCTTTGTGATATCAAATGACAGTTGCTTAAATCGCTTCATGATGTATCTTTTAAAAATAACTATTTCTTGCTGAATCAAATAAACTTTTTGATTGATCAGGTAGTTATTTCTCTTTATAAAATAATGCAGAGTACATATGGAATTAGTATACTAAAGCCTGACAAAGTGCTCATACTATACAGGTTGATTTTTGGACATAGAGCTACACATATGAATTATCTACCAATTTGACCTAATCTTCATTCTTCTAAGCAATCACTTTAAGTATCTTTTGTTTTTTATTGTGTAGTGTTTTTGTTAGATGGTAATAAAGTTGTGTACTGTTTCTACATCTTTGGTCTTTATCATATAGTGTTTATATCAAGTGGTGATACTTATAGTGATGCAAACTCTAAATTAAAAACCTCCATCATAAAATTAATTGCATTTTATATGATCACAGTCTGGAATCACAGTCATTGTAATCTTTTGAAGCCTTTTACCACCACAATTTCTCTTATTTAGCTTTATTACTTTCGTACTCATATGTTTTGCTTTGCCCAAACTAGGTTATTGTTATTCCAAAATATATCTTAACCTGACCCTTTTTATGTCTTACTTAAATTAGGGCCATATCTTCGCATTGCACCCACAGTGCAATCTGAGTGTCTTACATTCACCACAAAACTGTACAAGTGGCCTTCGCATCTATGGCACCACACTCCAAACCTGCCATTAGACCCTCCAGTACTGGACTTATTCATGTAACTGTTATCCTTGCTTAATTAGTTCTTCCTCCGAATCTTTGAAGGGCCAAATACCTTTTGTCATTCAAGATTCAACTTACATATCACCACATCAGCACCCAGAGTTCATCATAAATTTACAAAACCACAAGAGCCTGTCTTGTCACTTCTGAATCTGCCGTGTCTGGACCCTGGCATGATACGCAGTGCTCAGTCGGAGAGCACATGGCCTTGTCATTCCCACGGGCCTGATACTAGCACGCCGACCTGCCTGTTGTTCTCTCAGAGCCCTAAGTGTCCTTGAGATTCAGCTCTAGTCTTCCCTATTGCTCCGCACATCCTTCCAGACTCATTGCTCCCTGAGTTCTGTAACACCGTCCACTCTTACATCTCTTACGTTCATGATATTCATATACATTTGTTTGCTTGTTTTTCATTCTCCTGTGAGGGTGATTTCAGAAGGGCTTTTTACCTTCTACTCATGGCAATAGTAAGCAACTCTGAGATGTTGTTCTTCTAGGGTTCCTAGCCCTTTCCTGGCAACTGTTTCACAACTCTCTTTCGGATTTAATAGGACTGACCAGAGCTGGATGTCAATGATGTACTTTCTCCCTGTCTTACAAAGAGCAGACAAAGAAGCCAAGGCTCTGAGTCTCCCACGTTATTCCCAAGGTGATGGACAACGATGACTCTCAGTGATCTCACTTTTCTCTCTTGGGGTACTAGATGCAAATCTTTACCTTTTTCTAAAAGAGATATTACAAAGTAACAAGGATACAAAGAACTCTCGTGACACACATTTTGGGGGATGACATTCCATCCTTTGTCCCCCACCTCCCACCCCAATTCATAACCTTGCCACATACAAAGCAATTTCACGCCATCATATCATTCAAAAGTCAACTCTAATTACAAATTCCATCCTGGGGCAAAGTTCTTATTAATCTGTGAATCTATAATATAAATTATCTGTTTCCAAAATACAATGGTAAAACAGGCACAAGGTAGACATTTTAATTACAAATGAGAAAAAATGGAGGAAAACAAGGACTAATGGGCACCAAGCAAATCAAAACCCAGCAGAACAATTACATCAGCTCTTCGTTCTCTTGAGTCCATGTAGGTCAGCGGTTCTCAACCTGTGGGTCACGACCCCTTTGGGGGGCAGGGGTCGAACAACCTTTCACAGGGGTCGCCCAGGACCATCGGAAAACACATAAATATTTCACAATATGTAATTACATATTGTTTTGTGATTAATCACTGCTTTAATTATGTTTAATTGTGTTCAATTTGTAACGGTGAAAATACATCCCGAATTTCAAATATTTGCATTACGATTCATAACAGTAGCAAAATTACAGTTTTGAAGTAGCAACGAAAGTAATTTTATGGTTGGGGTTCACCATCACTTGAGGAACTGTATTAAAGGGTCTTGGCATTGGCAAGGTTGAGAACCACTGATCTAGGCAATGGTCCTGCCCTCCAAGCCCTGGATTCTTATGTGGACGCCAGGTTGCTAGATTAGGGATAAAGGGGGGTTGTCTTCCCGAATGCCTGCCCTAGTGGAAATCGGCTGGCAGGGCCACAATAAAAGGGGTTGCAAAGAAATCAGGCACACTAATTAGACACCTATGGGAAAATCCAGAACTAAGCATGCTCAGACCAAGTCACCTAGGCCCAGGTGGGAGGTACACCTGAGCATACAAACAAGCACCGGTGACATGGCATCACAGCGGTGAGCCTAAACTCAGCCGATAAAGATCAGCCAGTACCCTCAAGCCTGCCACACCAGCCAGTGGGGATACGGGGAATAAATAACAGGCAGGGAGCAGGGCCAGCTGGCTCTCTTCTTTTATTCAGGTGTGCTCTATCTACAAGCTGAGATTCATCCTGGGAGGGGGCCTCACGCACCCCCTGCGCAGTGTGACTGCGCAGCCCGCTCACTCGGGATTTCCTGCTCTCAGTTCCAGATGCTTGGTTCCACTCTCCTGTTCTGGTATTCCTTCTTCCAAGTGTTTTTCCACGCTCCCCTGTAACGCCCTTTTTGGTCGCAAACTTTCCCACAGCCCCTGCCATGTGGCCCTGCACGCTTTGCAGAGGTAGCACGTGCTTTTTGAGACTGTAACATCTGAAACTTACCCTTCCCTCCAAAAGTTCCTTGGATCTACAAAAGTGCTTCTGCCATGTCAGTTCTTTCAGCGTTGCGAAGAACTGAGGTCAGCATCCCAGAAAGCACCATGGAGCCCCTGTGACCAGGGCTCTGTCTTCCAGGCACCCTAGGAGGGGGATTCCATTCCCTTGGCTCTAGGTGGGTGGCCCTATTCTTCCAGTCCAACTACATAGTGACTTCATCCACCCTGCTAGGCCCAGCATGTACCAGTCTCCTGCCTCGTGGCATGGCAGCCCAGCCACCTCAGCTGTGGGTAGCACATCCAGTCCCATTACCCTTGCATGTGTAAATTGCAGTCGCTGAAGATTTGACTCTGCAGCTCAGAAGTCTGTGGGCTTACCCTCTAAGACCCCTGAGGTCTTGGCTCCCACTCCTGAGGGTGACTACCTTCATTGTGTCTACATCCCGAGTTTAAACGGTGCTTTCTGTGCTTATTAAATGAGTGAAGCTTGGTAGTTCATTAATATGCAAGCTTTCTAAATGTCCAGGCTACTTCCAGTTTGTTATATTCCAACTGTTTTCCATCTTGTTTTGTAGTGATTTTTCTAAAAAAACAAACATTTTAACTAGGAAACTAAGTCATACAGTGGTCCCATTAACCCTCATCTTTTTGTCTTACGAGAATTTCCGTGTTAACTCTGTAGGCTTGCTAAATTTTTGAGAATTTGCATTTGAATTGAAATTAAGTATGTTTTGTAAAAGTTCACAGTAGTTCTTGGCATCCTTGTGCCAAAAGAAATACATTGTTCAGTGATTGTTTAAGTGAATTTTACCGAGATTAATATTTTCTCAATGATTAGCTTATATTAGACTTTAAATGTTAACATTGATACTACTTTATTTAGAGTATATTTGAGGTTGTTAAATTACTGATAATGTTTCTGCAATAATGGGACAAATCATTATATAATCACCCAAGAGTCCTACACTTTCAGTAAATTTACAGAGGTTAAGCACGCAAGTGTTGCTAGTTCATACCAGTCAGCTGTGTTCCACAGAAGAAAGATGTGGAAAATTGCTTTTGTAAAGATTACAGCCTTGAAGACATGTGGAGCAGCTCTGCTTTGCAATCCTTTAGGGTCATAATGAGTCAGATTCTTCCTGAGAACACACAGCAGCAACAGAGTAGTAAGTTAGGAACAGCCACTAATTCTCCCCACCCCTAAATATTTGTCTTCATTTAAGCTCTAGTCATTACAAAGATTAGATTAAGCTCTAATCATTCCTTACATCTGATGCACAGGAAAACTTTTCCTTTGTTGAAAGTCTGTTAGACTTGCTACTTCTGTTAGTAGACAATTAAGCTTTGCATGAGGCACTCTGAAACCAGCCAGTGACTAAAGGGCTTCACTGAGTTAGGCCACAGGTCTTCTTCCTCATTCTTTACTTCTTCAATGAATTCTCTTTGGAAAAGGGAGTGCCCACAAGGTCCTG